ATTCCTGCTCTTCTGGTGTGCTCTGAGCTGAGGGGACAGGGGTGGCAGCCAGGCAGGATGGGGTCTGGCTGTGCCTGGGAGATCCAGCTCTCAGAGGAGCCTCGGTCACTTGCCCCTTGGTCTAATCTGAATCCTGAGCTGCAGGAGAAAACAGACTTCTCTGTTGTATCAGTGTCCTGTTTGTGTGTGACAGGACAGAGAGAAAGTCCTTCTCCAGCTGCCCCTCCATCCAGCTGGTCTTTGCCCCAGCACCCTCTACCTACAGCCTAGCAGGACATCACCCTTCTAGGGCCAGAAGGGGAGTCCAGAGCAGGTCACCATTAAACCTCCCTCCAAGGATTTTAAGGTTCTCCTTTGCATTCTTCTTCTTCAGATGACACCTTTGCTTTCTGGCAAGGCCTGAAGGACATGGGTCTCCTGGAAGAAGTAATCCAAGAGTTCCACCAGGAGCTGGTGGAGACCATGAAGGGCTTGCAGCAGCGAGCACAGGATCCCCCACTGCAGCTTGGTGGTAAGGCACTGGGGGCACTGAAGAGGAGTGGCTCATAGATTTTTTTTTTTATCTTTTTTTTTTTCCTCCTTGGGGATATCTGGATGACACTATTGGGATGTAATCATAGAAATGTCTTGGTTAGAAGAGACCTTTAATATCACGGAGCCCAGACGCTCCCCAGCACTGCCAGGTCCCCACTGCCCTGTGTCCCTCACCCCACATCTCCACAGCTTGGAAACCCCTCCAGGGGTGGGGACTCCACCACTGCCCTGGGCAGCCTGGCACAGCCCTGGACAACCCTCCAGGGCAAGAAATTGTTCCTCAGGGCCAACCTCAACCTCCCCTGGGGCAACTTGAGGCCGTTTCCTCTTGCCCTGTCCCTTGTTCCTTGGGAGCAGAGCCCGACCCCCCCCTGGCTCCAGGCTCCTGTCAGGAGCTGTGCAGAGCCAGAAGGTCTCCCCTGAGCCTCCTTTGCTCCAGGCTCAGCACCCCCAGCTCCCTCAGCTGCTCCTCCTCACACTTGGGCTCTCGACCCTTCCCCAGCAGCTTCGTTGCCCTTCTCTGGCCACACTCCAGCCCCTCAAGGTCCTTCAGGAAGTGAGGGGCCCAAAACT